GACTTTCATCATTGGCTCTGGCTCCAGCCAATTGTTATTGACTTACATTTTTACAAAAAAACGTTATAGTTTCTAGTTCATCTAAAATAAAATATGCTATATAAATAAATATTCTCCATGAGAGTAGAGCCCAAAGCTCGTGGCCAGTGGTGTTCGGACTGGAGTGTGAAGCTCTGCTTAATAAACGGGAATCACCCACGAGCTCTCCCGCGAGCCGTTACAGCGCAGCGAAGGGGAAAGAGTTTACTCTATTGCTTTGTTCTAAGCAACGGGGGCATCCCGGGCACGCAATTGGCAGGGTAGGAGGGGATAGTGATGCTGGGTGTAACTAAAAAGGTGCTATTGTCCGGTGAGGTCCGGATGGGCTGTTATGGAACGATCTCATATCGCATAATCTTATTAACTGTTTATCTCCTGAACTGCATCTTTTCTTTCTTGTGCTGTGCCTGCCTGTCAATGGGAGGAAGCCATGCCCTATTTTGGAGTTCCCACCCCGTTTTGGAGTTCCTGCCCCCATTTGGAGATCTCCAGGCTGCAGTCATACCCTTCTCGGCTGGTGGGCAACTGCAAAAGTCGGAGTCCCACTGTCATTTTGGTAAAGGACTCTAAAGGGCATATCTTCAGGGGCTTTGCATCTCAAAGCTGGGAGGTCAAACCTCAGTTCCAGGGTGAGTTTGGAAAGAAAAAAACATATACAGTGTTATGCATCTCAATTAATGTTTCTTCTTCTTTTTGCACTGTAGGTGATTCCAGGTGCTTCCTCTTCTCCGTTTTTCCATACATGCGAGTGTTCACCTGCACAGGCTATAACAATCATTACATGTACTTGAACCAGGGCCAGCAGACTATGCCAAATGGCTTGGTGAGATAAATTTGAAAGGAATAGCACTCAAGAATGAAAATTTGCTCAAAATGTACTCACCCTTAGGCCATAGAGTTTGTTTCTTTTTCATCACTTGCTCACCCTCTGCAGTGAATGGGTGCCGTCAGAATGAGAGTAATCCACACGATTTCAATTTATCACCTCTTGTAAAGTGAAAATCTGCATGTTTGTAAGAAACAAATCCATCATTAAGGTGTTTTAACTTTGCATAATCCACAGTCCATAATCCATAATAACACTTAGTTCCTCCAGTAAAAAAAAGTATATCCCCTGTGATACTCTCACATCTCCATGAGAGTAGAGCCCAAAGCTCGTGGCCAGTGGTGTTCGGACTGGAGTGTGAAGCTCTGCTTAATAAACGGGAATCACCCACGAGCTCTCCCGCGAGCCGTTACAGCGCAGCGAAGGGGAAAGAGTTTACTCTATTGCTTTGTTCTAAGCAACGGGGGCATCCCGGGCACGCAATTGGCAGGGTAGGAGGGGATAGTGATGCTGGGTGTAACTAAAAAGGTGCTATTGTCCGGTGAGGTCCGGATGGGCTGTTATGGAACGATCTCATATCGCATAATCTTATTAACTGTTTATCTCCTGAACTGCATCTTTTCTTTCTTGTGCTGTGCCTGCCTGTCAATGGGAGGAAGCCATGCCCTATTTTGGAGTTCCCACCCCGTTTTGGAGTTCCTGCCCCCATTTGGAGATCTCCAGGCTGCAGTCATACCCTTCTCGGCTGGTGGGCAACTGCAAAAGTCGGAGTCCCACTGTCATTTTGGTAAAGGACTCTAAAGGGCATATCTTCAGGGGCTTTGCATCTCAAAGCTGGGAGGTCAAACCTCAGTTCCAGGGTGAGTTTGGAAAGAAAAAAACATATACAGTGTTATGCATCTCAATTAATGTTTCTTCTTCTTTTTGCACTGTAGGTGATTCCAGGTGCTTCCTCTTCTCCGTTTTTCCATACATGCGAGTGTTCACCTGCACAGGCTATAACAATCATTACATGTACTTGAACCAGGGCCAGCAGACTATGCCAAATGGCTTGGTGAGATAAATTTGAAAGGAATAGCACTCAAGAATGAAAATTTGCTCAAAATGTACTCACCCTTAGGCCATAGAGTTTGTTTCTTTTTCATCACTTGCTCACCCTCTGCAGTGAATGGGTGCCGTCAGAATGAGAGTAATCCACACGATTTCAATTTATCACCTCTTGTAAAGTGAAAATCTGCATGTTTGTAAGAAACAAATCCATCATTAAGGTGTTTTAACTTTGCATAATCCACAGTCCATAATCCATAATAACACTTAGTTCCTCCAGTAAAAAAAAGTATATCCCCTGTGATACTCTCACATCCAAATCCACTGACATATTTGTTTAGAACTGGTTTGGACTGCTTTCATTTGTAAGCAGTGTTTGATCTGTACATATTTCTATCCTGAGTCAGTTGAGTCGACTTTTCCCTGGAGGAAGCAATATAATGGATAGAGGCCTCGTATTTTAGCTGAAAGCAGTGGCTTGATGTTAAAACATCTTAATGTGGGATTTGTTTATTACAAACAGCAGCTTTTCACTTCACAAGAAATCAATTGATGGACTGGAGTCATGTGGATTTTTGTGATGTCTTTATCAGCTGTTTGGAGTCTCATTCTGACGGCACCCATTCACTTCAGAGGATCCACTGGTGAGCAAGTGATGTAATGCTAAATTTCTCCAAATCTGTTCAGATGAAGAAACTAATTCTTTTACATCTTGAATGACCCCAGGGTGAGTACATTTTCAGTGTATTTTTTATTTTTGGGTGAATTATTCCTTTAAACAGTGTTTAAGGCTTTATTACACTATGGAGCAAAGAAAAAATTCATAATTAACTGTCTTTTTAGGGTATGGGTGGTCATCATGGCTATTTCGGCTTGTGGTTGGACTGCGATTTTGGACACGGCCACAGTAGGGCTCGACCACGCTGCACCACATATGGCAGTCCTCAGCTCTCAGGAGACGAGGACTTCAAACTGGACACCGTGGAGGTGTGGGCCGTCGGGCAGCCACCTGAAGAACAGGAGCAGGTCTATGATAGAAATGTTACTATAGTGAATTTTGTATGTTTGGAGTGTGCATTTTGATTCAAAAAGTGTTTGTGTTGACGTTCAGGATGAGAAGAAGAAGAGCATATTAGATGCAGATCCTGAAGTACAGGCCATGATGGAAATGACAGGGAAGACCCTGCACAGCCAAGGCCTCCGAGAACCTGAGCAGGACGAGGAACAGTGAGGAAGGAAAAAAAGAAGACAATGTGTAGATCAAACCAGCAGTATTTCATTTCAGTGTTTGGTTTGGTTTGTGCTTTTACACTAATGTAGATATAGAGGAAACCACACTGTTGCAAACCACTTACTGAGGAGTTTATACAGTGTAGTTTTTATGTTAATATGTAAAATCCAGGAGCTGGTTTCCTGCTTTCTGTGAAATATTAAAATGTGCATACATTCTGTCAAATACTGTTAAACACTGAGTATTGACAACGTGTGACTGAAGTCTACATTTCACATCAAGTATCTGGATGTTATATATTTGTATTTTGCCTTGACTGATACATTTAGTGTCTTTAAACTGGAAGATTCACATTTCAAAATAAATAAATATATAAAACATATTTGTTTGCTTATGAATTGTTTCATCCCAATTAACACCTGCCAAATTCATAAATGTGAAAAGATGCGTTTCTCAGAATAAAAATGTAAAAGAGCAGTCAAGATTTCCTCAGTTCTCTTATAAAGATGAATTATGATATTACAAAACCATAATAAATAATATGGAAATAAAAATGTCACTTTTGTGTTTTGTTTCCGTCTGTTTGATTCATCACAATCATTTCTGCCATTTCTACTTGATTTTAGGCATTTTCAGAGTTTAGTCAATTCAGGGTAGTTGGATCGTGTGTGATGAACTTTAAACTATAACTTTGATAGATGCTGTACGCCTGCTTGGTATCAATCAAATATGCAGATAACTTTATTGTTTGCTGCTTATGGTGTTTTGAGTTATTCATATTATTTAACCACAAACAATCCTAAATCATTCTGCTCTACAACATCAGTTTTGGTATATAGCAATTGTGACCCGAAAATGTAAAAGAGCAGTCAAGATTTCCTCAGTTCTCTTATAAAGATGAATTATGATAATATTACAAAACCATAATAAATAATATGGAAATAAAAATGTCACTTTTGTGTTTTGTTTCCGTCTGTTTGATTCATCACAATCATTTCTGCCATTTCTACTTGATTTTAGGCATTTTCAGAGTTTAGTCAATTCAGGGTAGTTGGATCGTGTGTGATGAACTTTAAACTATAACTTTGATAGATGCTGTACGCCTGCTTGGTATCAATCAAATATGCAGATAACTTTATTGTTTGCTGCTTATGGTGTTTTGAGTTATTCATATTATTTAACCACAAACAATCCTAAATCATTCTGCTCTACAACATCAGTTTTGGTATATAGCAATTGTGACCCTGGAGCACAAAACCAGTCTTAGGTCGCTGGGGTATATTTGTAGCAATAGCCAAAAATACATTGTATGGGTCAAAATTATAGATTTTTCTTTTATGCCAAAAATCATTAGGATATTAAGTAAAGAAAAAAAATCATGGTCCATGAAGATATTTAGTAAATTTCCTACTGTAAATATATTAAAACTTAATTTTTTATTAGTAATATGCACTGCTAAGAACTTAATTTGGACAACTTTAAAGGCGATTTTCTCAATATTTTGATTTTTTTTGCACCCTCAGATTCCAGATTTTCAAATAGTTGTATCTCAGCCAAATATGGTCCTATCCTAACAAACCATACATCAATGGAAAGCTTATTTATTCAGCTTTGAGTTGATGTATATATCTCAATTTCGAAAAATTGACCCTTATGACTGGTTTTGTGGTCCAGGGTCATAATTAAGCTTTTCAGGGGGAAGTGAGTTATATTTTTTACAGTAAGTAACCATGGTAATATATATATATATATTTTTTACACTTGTTATATATGTAACCTAACTGCCTCTTCTCATCTGTTAACTTTTCATGTATTCTTAATGCAAAATGAACAGTGGAATGCACTGGAAAAGTAACGATGGGTAAGAAAAGCACAGGACTTAAAAGCGAAGTTTAAATCATTAAAATAATTTCGGATGACCAAGTTTCCTCTGCTTATAGCCACTGCGGTAAAGTTGGTTTCATATTCTCGCTCACATTCGGACTTTGTTTTCCAATATCTTTCCAACAGTGGATGCAAAAATGTTAACCTAAGATAATTAATATTATTGACATGTTTGCCAAACAGCTACAACTAATTTAATCAAGAAACATATACTATTAATGATCTGCTCTCATATTTTCGCCCAATCTCCTCTGAATATCTTTCTCTGTGGGCTGGAAAAGTAAGGGAGTGTCTAAAAAGGGTTTGTAAGAAGAGGAGGCGGAAACAACTTGAGGCAGTTTAAAATGTGTCTGATTTCCTTGATTGATTTATTGTATATTGTAATGCGTGAAAATAGTAAACTTTGTACTTCATTGATTTATATATACATAAAAAACTCATTTAAAACAAGTTTGAAAACTTTTTGAACATAGTAGAGTTTCACCTTTTAATTTCAATATAATTTTAATGGTTATAAATATTGGCCTTAACTTTAAACTTATCAAACACACTTCAAAAAACTCACTACACCTCATAGTATGAGTATGGTCATGTCTACTGAGTTCTGTTGACTTTGTAATGCTACAGCATGTATAGCTCAGTACATTTTATATGGTGGTACGGGTTGTTTTAAAAGTTTCCTTTTTAGCCTTACTGAATATACCACAGTTAAATGTTAAACCTCAAATGAGCATTGCAATTGGCAAAAACATTTTTTTTTCAAGATGACTTGTTCTGTGTTTGTATCACATCACTGTCCAGACGTGTGGAGCTGAAGGTACGCGGTTTTGCTGTGCGTCAGTGTATTGCAATAACTGTGTTTTCATTTCCTTTTAGTGAATAAATATTATATTAAGTTTGTGCCTGGATTGTAACTTAGATGATCTCCTAGATGCTCCCACCTGCACCTTGAAGTTTCAATATATTTTACTGGTTGCACAAATTAACCCCAAATCACTTAAGCACATATTATTAAGCACCATCCAAAAGACACACTACAGCTTATGGTTTGGGGACTGTCACTTTTACTGAGCTCTGCAGGGTTTGATATATTTTAACATACAGAGCTCTAGTCTAGCATACAAAGATTCAAAACATGCTGTAATTTCTTACTTACAGCCTTCTGAGCATACTAGTTTCACTTCAAATGAGTATGGAGATGAGAAACCTGTTTAAATAAAGACACACCCGGCCCATTTAATTTGGCTGCTGTCCCCACCCGTGGTGCTGAACACACAGAGTTCTACTCTGCACCATTCTGCAGTTAGGTTTCAAAACTTTTGACTGGAGTTAATTAAAAATGCAAGACGTTTATGCATGATTCAGAGAACGTAACATTTCCTGTTTTCCCTTACTGTACGTACAGTACACAAATTGTAAAGGGGTCATATGATGTTGCTAAAAAGAACATTATTTTGTGTATTTGGTGTAATGAAATGTGTTTATGCGGTTTAAGGTTCAAAAAACACATAATTTTCCACATACTGTACATTATTGTTTCTCCTCTATGCCCCGCCTTTCTGAAACGCGTCGATTTTTACAAAGCTCATCGGTCTGAAAAGCAAGGTGTGCTGTGATTGGCCAGCTATCCAGTGCGTTATTATTGGCCGAATACCTCAAATGTGTGACGGAAATGTTACGCCTCTACCATACTGTGATGATGCCCTGTCCGGCCGGAGCGATGATTCAAAAACATGAAAACCCATTATAAACGAGGCTTTCGTTGCATCCAGTGGGGACATAATTATGGATTATAATGACTTATACTGTCTTTTTACGCGTTGCGTTGCATCGCGCCGCGTAAACCACGCCTTCTTTCTTTGCATGAACATTTGGGGGGAGTTATGCAAATCTTCCCACATCGTGACGTAGACATGTGGGGGCGTGTTAGAACGAGCCGTTTTAGGTAGGCGTGGCTGACTCTTAACTTTTATAAAGAATATCTTTTTGGGTTTGAGACTTTAGTCTTTGAAACTTTACAGATCTTCTTTATGCACCAAGAGCTTGTAACACTCCAAAGAGAACGCGTCGATTTTTACAAAGCTCATCGGTCTGAAAAGCAAGGTGTGCTGTGATTGGCCAGCTATACCTCAAGTGTGTGACGGAAATGTTACGCCTCTACCATACTGTGATGATGCCCTGTCCGGCCGGAGCGATGATTCAAAAACATGAAAACCCATTATAAACGAGGCTTTCGTTGCATCCAGTGGGGACATAATTATGGATTATAATGACTTATACTGTCTTTTTACGCGTTGCGTTGCATCGCGCCACGTAAACCACGCCTTCTTTCTTTGCGTGAACATTTGGGGGGAGTTATGCAAATATTCCCACATCGTGACGTAGACATGTGGGGGCGTGTTAGAACGAGCCGTTTTAGGTAGGCGTGGCTGACTCTTAACTTTTATAAAGAATATCTTTTTGGGTTTGAGACTTTAGTCTTTGAAACTTTACAGATCTTCTTTATGCACCAAGAGCTTGTAACACTCCAAAGAGACAGGAAAAATTGTAATTGTATCATATAACCCCTTTAATAAATACATTACTGTATGTCACCAGAGGGTTTTTCCCACATTCCAAAAGCTGTAGTAGGTTCCTGGTGACCAGACTGACTTACTACAGGCAAGATTTTGTCAACACCTCCCTTACTGTACGTACAGTGCTCACATAGTTTAATAAATTCAGTACTGTATTTCACCAAAGGGTTTTTCCCACATTCCAAAGACTGTAGTAGGTTTCTAGTGACCAGACTGACTTACTACAGGCAAGAGTTTGTCAATACCTCCCTTACTGTACGTATAGTGCTCAAATAGTGTAATAAATTCAGTACTGTATTTCACCAAAGCATTTTTCCCACGTTCCAAAGGCTGTAGTAGGTTCCTGGTGACCAGACTGACTTACTATTAGATACTACTACTAGATTTTTCCAGTACCTCCCTTAATAAAATTAGAGTATATGATAATTTTTGAAAATCAATATGAAATATTATGATAAAATCTCAGCTTTAGTAAGTCAGTCTGTCCACAAAGCCCATACTACAACATTTGGAACGTGAAAAACACTTTTGGGTTTTTAGAGTCATTGCTTTTCAAAAATATTTGTAAACTGTACTTTTCTAAAGGGAGATATTAGCAAAAATTCACCTGTAGTAAGTCAGCGTGGCCAGAAGGAACATACTACAACCACTCGAAACCTTTGGTAAAATACAGTACTACTTTTCATAACTAATTTTTGTACTGTATGTATGGAAAGGAAGGTATTTGCAAAATCTTGCCTGTAGTAAGTCAATCTGGTCACTAGGAACCTACTACTACTTTGGTGAAAGTCAGTGATGATTTGGGGTGCCATGACGTCTGCTGGTGTTGGTCCATTGTGTTTTATCAAGTCCAAAGTCAATGCAGCCATCTACCAGGAGATTTTGGAGCACTTTATGCTTCCATCTGCTGACAAGCTTTATATGGAGATACTGATTTCCTTTTCCAGCAGGACTTAGCACCAGCCCACAGTACCAAAACTACTTCCAAGTGGTTTGCTGACCATGATATTACTGTGCTTGATTGGCCAGCCAACATGCCTGACCTGAACCCCATATTGAATCTGGGATATTTTCAAGAGAAAGATGAGAAACAGTCGATCCAACAATACAGACGAGCTGAAGGCTCAATAGTGCCTCAGCAGTGCCACAGGCTGATCGCTTCCATGCCACACCTCACTGATGCTGTATTTTGTCCTAAAGGAGCCCTGACCAAGTATTGAGTACATAAATGAACATACTTTAAAGAACTTGAACTTTTCAGTTTTGCAAATCCCTTTTTTATTGATCTTAGGAAATATTGTAATATTTGGGATACTGGATTTTTGACTTTCATGAGCTGTAAGCTGTAATGAAATGTTTTACTTTACATGTAATGAATTAAGGAGATATAAAAGTGTCACTTTATGAAATAAAACTTTTTCACGATATTCTATTTTTTTTAAATGCACCTGTATATTTACTCAATAAAATTGTGTGAACAGATTACAAGCAATATTATTAATTAAATTCAACATATAAGAATTAATGAAATTAGATGCTTACAAATTAACCATTCAAAATGAGTAAAATAGCACACAAAAATTAAGTAAAATTTTGAACCCCATATTGAATCTGGGATATTTTCAAGAGAAAGATGAGAAACAGTCGATCCAACAATACAGACGAGCTGAAGGCTCAATAGTGCCTCAGCAGTGCCACAGGCTGATTGCTTCCATGCCACACCTCACTGATGCTGTATTTTGTCCTAAAGGAGCCCTGACCAAGTATTGAGTACATAAATGAACATACTTTAAAGAACTTGAACTTTTCAGTTTTGCAAATCCCTTTTTTATTGATCTTAGGAAATATTGTAATATTTGGGATACTGGATTTTTGACTTTCATGAGCTGTAAGCTGTAATGAAATGTTTTACTTTACATGTAATGAATGAAGGAGATATAAAAGTGTCACTTTATGAAATAAAACTTTTTCACGATATTCTATTTTTTTTAAATGCACCTGTATATTTACTCAATAAAATGGTGTGAACAGATTACAAGCAATATTATTAATTAAATTCAACATATAAGAATTAATGAAATTAGATGCTTACAAATTAACCATTCAAAATGAGTAAAATAGCACACAAAAATTAAGTAAAATTTAAACAAAAATATTGATTTAATTGGACAAAAAAACAAACAAACCAACAAACAAACAAGCAAAAACACTCTGCTAATGAATAATGTTATGCATGCTAGGCCAGTATTGGCAATCAAGAAACACCCTGCAAAAACATACTATGCCATCACCTTTTTCATAAATTCACATTTTTGTTTTTTACATTGAGATAATACAGGCATCATGTTCAAAAGAGTGTGTTTTCAGGCCCCCAAAACAGAGTTATTGAAGACATCTGATGTTAACAAACAGAATCACTGAAGGAGAAAATCTAAATTTTTTAGGTTACCATTACAGTGGTCAGTGTTTGCTTTAGTTGGGCTCTTAACCCTTGACTTTTTAACCTTAGATATTGTTTGGCTGCTGTAATTGAGTTATAACAGCTAGTCAAGCCAAGAGAAAAATTGATTGGGTGTTAGTTATGTTTTTACATAATCATTATTTTACCTGATTTACTGAACTTATTTAGAGCCTAGTCTCTGAGTTAGATTTGCATTTATTACAACAGCCTTTTGATTCTCCTGTGTAAGACTTGCAATTTTCAGTGTAATTCAAAGGGTTTCTTAAAATTTGTTCTGATCAAAAAATGGAGTGGAAAAAACACTCTTTTAGGCACACAGTGATATCAAGAACCAGTGTATGAATCTCAACAATGGTGACAAACAGCATATGCCGATAAAGAGATCAACTCTGAGCAACACAGAACAAGCTACTAAAAAATCACATAAAAATAAAAGAAAATAGTAAGAATAAAATGAATTAGACAATTCAGCTCATAATTTATTCATGCCACAATGTATGGGAGCCAGGGATGAGTTTTGTCTGGTGGCACCCAGAATGCGCTGCAACATGCGTTTTGATGATTACCGTTTTTGAGGTTCTCACGCTGATTCTTGATGTCTGTGTGCCTAAAAGGAAGGCGTTTTTCTTTTTCTTAAATCTCTTTGATTATGCTGAAAGTTCCATACCTTATACCGTGTAATGAAATTATTATTATAAAGCAAGAAACCGTGGTTTACAGTGAATTTATAACAGCTAAGGGCGTTGTTAGGCACAACACGAAGCGGATTATTCCATATGTAGTACGGTTTCACAAAATAAAACAGAGCAAATGAAGTGCAATGATGTTAATAAAAACATTATTCTTCCGCCAAACAATGTAGTTTGTGCTTCGAACTTGGCTCAACCAATCAGAATCAAGGACCGGAACTATCCGTTTTATAATTATTATTTTAAAAGGCTCTATGGACTGTTACAGAACACTGTGGAATATGTTTATTTTAACCTGAAGAACAACTCTACAGTGGGCAATTTGCTTTAAATGGGCAATTAAAACTCCCAATGTGTTACATTGGTTTTCATCATTGACACATTACATGGTTCAATATCTCTGAAATAAACAGACTAATTCTTCCGGGACAAACTGTAAAATGTTTAGCTAAATTGAAAGAACATACTACAACTCTTTATTGTACGACTTATTGCTTTATATGGTCAATTTATGCTCTCAACGTGTTGCATTGGTCTCTCTAACTGCCATAGTGGAGGATGGTTTGCTACAATTTGATTGGATGTCAATGGACTAACTCAAATGTCCAATGCTATTAGATTAAGAGGCAACTACCAGACATCCTGCTTGGCCAAAAAATGTGATCCCAGCACCCAGGAGAGGGCATTTTCATTGGTCCAAAAGATTAACCTTTTCACCCAAAAGCCCCCTTTACTTTCATTCTAAGGCCTAGGCTAAGATGGCCATAAATCCCTTTGACCTACAGATGCGAAAAATAAATAAATAATTCAAACTGAGCAATGTAGCATAGTGTCCTTTCAGTGTTTAATAAGGAAAACAATATAGTGTTTAATAAAGAAAAATATTAATATGGAATAAGGAAAAATAGTGAAAAATAGTGTTTATTACAGAAAAATATTACTTTTTACCTAAACATAGCATTGGAAATTTGCTGTGAAAATGAAAAACTCATACATTAATTTAGCTAAACATTTTACAGTTTGTCCAGGAAGAGTTAATTATTAATAATAATAATTCGCTTTTCTGGGCACTCAAAGCGTCATTGACCATATAAAGCATACACTTATAAAGCATAAGCATACACGTAATTGACCATATAAAGCACATAATTGCACATTAAAGACTTGTAGTATATTCTTTAGGGTCAAATAAATATTTTGCAACTTGTTTTGGAGCGGTGACCCTGCTTTGGAAAGTTATTGAACTGGATGGTGTGTCATTGAAGAAACCAATGCAACACATTATGAAGTAGTAGAAATTGACCACCTAATGAAAATTACTGCACAATAAAGAGTTGTAGTATGTTTATTAGGGTCAAGTTAAGATTTTCCAGTGTGTTCAGGAACACTCCATTAAGCCTTTTAAAAGCTATTTAACTTAATCATGCGTCATTGAAGAAACCACAGTAATTAACACAGTACACTCTAAAAAATGCTGGGTTAAATACAACCCAGTGCTGGGTAAAATAAGGACAAACCCAGCAAGTTGGGTTACTACCCAGATTACAATAGCAAAATGATGCACAATAAGGTGCAAAATTGTTCTGTACAGTTTCAGTGGGATACAAAAAAGTCAATTCTGCAAGAGCAGGTCTGCCTACACAGCCTCTTGTTGTTAATGATAACAGTTGACAAACTCGGATGTGGCAGGTTCATTTTCTTACCCTGTTGAGCAACAGACCTTCGTTTATTCTTATCTCGTGTTTATTTGTGTCAATCTACATGGATTTTTTTGGTTTGTTATTTAAAGTTTTATCTTGGCGCTTGTTTAAATGTCGGGAAACAGAGTGGCTTCTCTGTCTCTTTCACACAGAAAGCTCAAAATGGAAGAATGGAGGGGGTGGGGGATGTACAAAGGTTTCTGAATGGAAACCAAATTGAGTTTACTGGGTTAATACTTTACTTTTAAAGAGGGACTTGCTTTGGGACACTTCCACTGTACTCAGCTACTCATTTGCAATGCAAATATGGGCTTCTGTGGGGAACCAGACATGAAACATCTATTTTGCTTGCTTATTGTTCAAAAGTTTGGAATCGGTAAGATTTTTATAAATGTTTTTGAAAAAGACTCTTGTGCTCACCAAGAGTGCCTTTATTTGATATAACAACAATGCAAGAAATATTGTGAAATATTATTACAATTTATAATAACTGTTTTATATAAGTAACATTTCTTATTTTTATCAGTGTCTGAAGTTTTGATGCTTAATATTTTTTTGGAAAACTGTGACTTTTTTAAACAATTCTTTGATACATAAAAAACAGCATTTATTGAATATAATTTTTTTGTTACAATGTAAAAGTCTTTACTTTAACTTTTGATCAATTAATGCATCCTTGATGAAAAAAAGTAATTGCACGGATCCCAAACTTTTGAAGCTCAGTGTAAATCACTAATAAAATTTATATAAAAATCATCTGACAACAAAATGGATAGTGAGATGAACTGACCATCACATTTTAACATTCCACTCCACTCACAGAGTTTTACTTGTAGTTCCCACACACTTTCTTGGCTACTTTACTTTTCCTCTCCACCTAATCTTTCTACTCTTTTATACATGACTAGTGCATTTTATACTGTGTGTACTCTTACTTGCTGATTATGACAACATGTCATGCACCTTGTCATGGTGTTTCAGATATTCATATAGTGACATTAATTTATGTATTCAAACCACTTCCCCAGAAGAATTTTCAGTTTTTTTTATCAGATCTGGGCCAGTGTTATTGCAGTATTATATACTATTATGGTATTTAATAATATTTTAAATTACATGTTACGATCTCATTTTTGCAGTGGACCTCTTTGAGATCCGGGAAGTACGAGCAGGAAAAAACTCCAAAGACTTTGATCGATTCAAGGACAGCAAGGATAAATTTATAGACCCCAACTCATGCTTTACTATATTCTATGGCTCTCAGTTTGTTCTCAACACTCTCAGTCTGGCGGGTATGTATGTCGTCTTATGCATTTGACATGTTCTAACTAAAAAATATAATAATAAGTGTAATTAAATCACTTTATTGTCATTCCACCATATGCCTACATGTAATATGCTATATGCACAATGTACAGAATAACCAATATATACAATTTTGTAGGCACAGCTAGCATGACATTCATTATGAGATATATATATAAAATGTGTGTGATGTGCATGATAGATAATTATACTGCAGCATCTGACTGTGGTGAGGATGATAATAGACTATTCGAGGAGGTACTTCCTCTCTTTCAATATATTCCTCTCTTTCCTGTGTTGATGTATAGTTTATTCTTTGGATGGTTAAGAAATGACTGTCAAAGGAAGAAAATTATGGGTTCTGAAGAGGAAAAACTAGCTGCATTGTTTTTAGTGCTGAAAGCATTTGCTGTATGTTCCACAGCTGATTCAGTGGAGGATGCAGAAAAATGGCTGGCAGGACTGGAGTTACTCAGGCAGGAGACACTGGTGGCTTACACACCAGATATTGTAGAGAGGTACACACACACACACACACACACACAGAGATACAGAGAGTGTACCTTGTGTATTCATGAACTGTAGCACAAATCATGTGTTTGTTTCATCTGTGTTTTTCCCTCTACTGTAGTTGGCTGAGGAAGCAGATGTACTCGGTTGATCAAACAAGGAAAAACAGGTTCTCCTCTTTCTGTTTCACCTTCTTCTTGACCAGTCTCATTTTAGTTTCTGTCTCACCTCATTACTGCTCCTTTTCTGTCTCTCACAGCATCACCCTGAAAGAGCTCAAGTCTCTGTTGCCACAGATGAACTTTAAAGTACCAGGTGGACGTTTTTTGAAGGACAGAATTTTGGTATGAATGATACATTGTATACACATTATCTTGACGGAAGTGTATGCTTTGCATCATATGGAAAACTTTATGGCAGCTGAATGGGAACATTTCCTCTCCTAAAGTTTTTCAGATGATCATCTGTTTGTTTATCCATAAGTTTTTACATTTTTTCTTGTTTTAAGACATGTATAGCTAATGGCTTTGCTCTAAAAGTGTCAACGTTATAATTTCAGGTGGTGGGAGCAAAGAAAGAAGTTCTGGATTTTGAGCAATTTCACAAATTCTACAATCTTTTGATGTTTGACAACCAAAAGATGGTAAGTATGCAGTTTAAAAAGTTTGGGATTGGTACGATTTAAAAAAAGTAAAAAGTACAGTAAAACAGTACAGTCATATTGTGAAATATTATTGCAATTTAAAATGGCTGTTTTCTATTCTCATATATTTTAAAATGTAATTTATTCCTGTGATGGCAAAGCTGAATTTTCAGCAGTCATTACTCCAGTCTTCAGGGTCACATGATCCTCCACAAATCATTCTAATGCTGATTTGGAGCTCAATTAACAATTCTTGTGATTAGCCATTTTTTTCTTAAGTTAAGTTTTAACAGAAAGTTATAGAAAGTACAGGATTTTAAAAAGTAAAAGTCTTTACTTTTCTAGTACCATCTTTAGAGTATGTTGTTTGTTGTTTTGTTAGATTCTAGATGAGTTTAAAAAGGAGTCGTGTGCTTTCATCATGGGGTAAGAAACTGTCAAAACATTGTTTTGATTGAAGCAGTTCTTTAAATGTGCCATGAGGTCATTCTTATTGAGTGTTTTGTATGTTTTTTTCTGCAGTAACAGCGATCAGCCTATTCAACTCTGCGATTTTCAAAGATTCCTTTTATTTCATCAGAGAGTAAGACTTTTTGCTCATCCATTCATCCAATCATATATATATATATATATATACTGTCTATACCAGCCAAATATATCAATTTCATTCAAATACTATTTCAAACGCTTAGTTTAAAACAAATACTGTGAATTTATTTTGTAGGAGTCTTGGGCCAACAATACAAATCAAGTCCGAGAGCTGATGACCATTTTCATCGATGACACCATGAGGAAGACCAACGATCCAGCCTTTACTGTTGAAGAGGTATGGGTTATAGAGATGTGTTTACTTTATGTAAACTTCAGGTGACGTGTTTTTAGAGCTTTCTTTCTGTCTTTCTAGTTCCTTAGTTTTCTCTTCTCCAAAGAGAACTCGATCTGGGATGAGAAGTTCTCAGAGATTTGCCCACTGGACATGAACAATCCTCTGTCTCACTACTGGATCAACTCTTCTCACAACACGTCAGTGCTGCAGTTCTTAATGCTCATGACACACATACAGCAGCTCCTCCTCTTCATGATCAACTTCCTGTGTTACTTCATGTGTTTTGCTTTTTTTCTCCACAGATATTTGACTGGAGATCAGCTCCGCAGTGAGTCCTCAACAGAAGCTTACGTGCGCTGCCTGAGGCTGGGCTGCCGCTGTGTTGAGTGTCAGTGAACCATACCCTCATTTCTTAATAAATATTCTTTAATATTCTGTTGATCTAATGCAAGTCCTTTTCGGCTTCATTTTATGCATAGATAATGCATTGATAAAATTGTTCTGAAATCGGTGTGAGTCAGTCTGATGACCTTAATGTTTCTTTTTTGCAATGCAGTGGACTGCTGGAATGGTCCCGATGAACCTATTATATACCACGGCTGGACTAGAACCTCCAAGATAAAGTTTAAGGATGTGGTGAAGGCCATCAATGATCATGCTTTTGCAACATCCGAGTTAGTCATCAACAACTCACACATTTATTTGTGATGTTTTGTCAAATTCATTTCACCTAACATTTAGGCTAAATGAATTTGACAAACACTTTTTAAGAACATACCAGGGTCCCATCCGTCTCAAAATTTAAATAAATAAGCAAATATATTTTGCATAAAGAAAATTAAACCTATTTTCAGGAACACTAATATATATATATATATATATATATATATATATTTGCATTGTGACATTATTTGTATTATTATTTTGCATTATTACTGCTTCATAGGAGTGTGAATCGGCACTGGTTTCACGATTCAATTATATTACGATTATGTCAACAATTCAATTCGATATCACGATGCATCACAATTATATAAAATTTATTTTGTGCATTTTTATTAAATTACATAAGTAGGCTACTTTTTAAAATAATTATTTTAATTAATTAATTATTAATACTATATTAATTAATTAAGATATTAATTAATATATAATTGATTAATTATTGTTAAGAATTTAAATTAAATATAGCTTTTAAAACGTACAAGCAAATATAAAGTAATAAAGGGGGGAAATACAATTACAAGGCATAAACAAAAAGCACTTTCATTATCTGGGAGCGCTTTACGTATCCGAAAGTTTACAGATAGGCTAATCATAGTAATGGGTTTTTCTTTTTCTTTTCTTTTTTTTGCCATTTGATTGGCAGTTTTAATAGGCTGCATTCACACTAATGCACAGATCTATTTCGACATATCAGATGTTTTGTCCTGTTCTGAAAACATAACTGATTGTTTACATCAATTTCGTATCATAAAAGTAGATGCAAGTGCATTTAACTGCAGCCGCAAGCTTCAGGACAAGCACAAAGCGCACGTGAAAGTCACACGTGCCATGTGTGGGAAAAAGCTAAGCTCAGATTTTAAAATAGAGAGTGCATTTTTAATAATCGCGTGACAAGCTCCTCTAGTTGCATCGATGCAGAATCGTCCACGTCCGCATCGTGATGCAATGATTAATTTCGACACCCCTACTGCCGCTTGAATAAATAATAATAAACAATGATATGTTATTTTAAATGTCAAGTGTTTTATAGTATGGGTAATATTTGTTTTACTTCCTTTAAATAATGCAAATTTTTTTTTTTTTTTTTACAGGTTTAATAAATAATTTAATGAGAATACCATTAAGAATATGTTGCACACAGTGTATCTGGAAATGTGCGGTATTCTTGAAGTATGTTTATGAACATGTCACTGTTGGCAGGTATCCTGTGGTGCTGTCCATAGAAGAACACTGTGACGTCAAGCAGCAAAAAATGATGGCTCAGGTGTTCAAAGATGTTTTCCAAGACAAGCTCCTGACCGAGCCGCTGGAACCAGAAGCAGAACAATTGCCATCACCAGCCCAACTGAAGGGCAAGATCATCATCAAGGTAGAGAAGCTTCATTGGAAAATCCTGCAATGTCTTTGATTTTACAATACAATCCAAAGCCATGCAATCTCGCTTTTTCATACAGCACAAGAAACTGAATATTGATGAGACCTTTAGCAAAAAGGACCTACGGAAAGGAGATAAGCAGGGAGAGCTCTTCATCTGGGACCCAATTGATGAGGTGCCAAAGTCCAGTGAACACTATCGCAGGCTTGTGTGATTGTTTGATCTTATTCCAGTTGCCTTGATTATGATTGCAATTTCTCTATGACTCTGTCCGTGTACAGAGATGGAACAAGCACTACTGTGTGATCGAGAATAAGACATTGTATTTTGCTGAGGAGAATGAACTACTACTAGAGGAGGATGTTGGAAAGGTGAATTACTGAGGCTCCATTTTAGAATGAGATTCACTTAAAAAAATCTCATAATTTAAAAGTATTCACTGTGTAATTCACCTCTCCTCAGTCACCTCAGGGTGGTACAGAGCTTCATCAGTCAGAGGCCTGGTTTCACGGGCGGATGTCAGAGGGCAGACAGACAGCCGAGAGACTGCTGCAGGAATATTGTGCAGATTCAGGTGGAGTTGACGGGACATTTCTGGTGCGGGAGAGCGACACCTTCGTCAATGATTGCACCCTCTCGTTCTGGTAATGTAGGCCTGCTCTACTATTTAGAGAGAGAGGAGGGATGGTTTTTTGTATCATGTTTTATTTTATTTATCGTCTTTAATTTATTCTTTTAAAATGGAAGAAATAGGGAAAAAGCTGAATATGCAGTTTATATGGGTCAGTCTTGCTATGCAGTATATTTCATGTCCTGTCACAATCTGGCAGTTGTTAAAGATTGAAATCAAAATCATATTAGTAACATTTCTTATTAAAGTAATTAGTACTGTTAATTAGTAACATGTAGCACAATTTCTCTATAATAGTGAGCATGGGGTAAATTATTTATATATATATATATATATATATATATATATATATATATATATTCCGTCCTATCTGATTAAAATAAATATGGAAATCAGTATGATAATATAAACGTTTTAAAGATAAATGAAATTTGGATATGGATATGCTAATTTAAGTCATATATTACAGTAATTTCCACTGTATTAATTTGACTTCTTTAATTTGGGCATGTCTCTGTGGTAATAAGGTAATCAGAAAATGGCATAATACTGGGTGGGGAACAAAACAGTATAAACATCATTACAGTTTAGCATTACATTTGAGTTTTGAATTTATATGATCATTCTTTTTTTAATCGGTATAATATCAAAATTTCAAAGGTGGATGAAAAATATCACAATTAACTTGTAAGCTAACTGTGTTTTTAATATAATTTATGCCAATTTAAATAATTTGACAGTAATTTCTACAATATTGATTTTGCTACTTTAGTTTGAGCGTTTCCTGTTTGTGTAAAGTTTTTTTTTTGTATAATGACATCATCCACCAGTAAGTGATTCTCAATTCCTCATTGACAGAAATGGCTAACCTCAGCTCTTTATGTAAATCCTCTTATGTCCAGGTTAGTTTTCTTTCGAGATATAAAGTCGCAATTACAAGAAAAAAAAGTCAGAATTGCGTGCTATAAACTTGCAATTGCGAGTTATAATGTCAGAATTGTGATTTTATATCTCGGAATTCTGACTTTATAACAGTTGTGTGATATAAAGTCGCATATCACAATTCTGACTATAACTCGCAGTTGCGAGTTTATATCACGCAATTCTGAGAAAAAAAGTCAGAATTGTGGGATGTAAACTTGCAATTGCGAGATAAAAAGTCTAGATTTGTGAGATGAAAAGTCGCAATTACCTTTTAAAAAATGTTTATTCAGTGGCAGAAACGGGCTTCCATATTTACATGACTAGAGTATATTTCTGAAAGAAATACCATTTAATAGAAATCCTTTCATTATAATAAAAGCATATTATTTTTTATAAGTTTCAGAAAGTGCTGCTTAACAAGAATGATCCATATGGTTCATGTTAATAACTTTTCTTCTTTCGTCACAAATGCACAGAAATGCACATTTTGCTAAATTAAATTCCCTGTGTGGTCCTTACAGGCGGAGCGGACGAGTTCAACATTGTCGAATCCGTTCCTGCTTGGAAGGAGGCCACACTGTCTATTTCCTCACAGACAACCTGCACTTCCCCAGTGTGTACACGCTTGTCCAGTATTACAGAGAAAGCCCTCTCCGCTGTCAGGATTTCAACCTGCGCCTCACTGATTTTGTGCCTCGACCAGACCAGCACCTGCAAGAAGGGTAAGTCGATACTTGACACACACAAACAAAAACTACACATGGTGTTTACCACATCCCAGCCAGCAGAGCTGTAGAAGACCAAGTGGACAGCTACTTTTAACGCTCACGAGTAACTGTAGACACACCGTACATGTGAAACTGTGGTTTTCTCGTCTTTAGGTGGTTTTACAGTAACTTGAGTCGGGGTGAGGCAGAGGACTATCTCATGAGGATCCCTCGAGATGGAGCCTTCCTCATCAGACAGAGAGAAAATTCAGACTCTTATGCCATCACCTTCAGGTGCTACTCTTTGTTTTTCTTCTCCTCATTACACTGACAAAAATCTGGAGTAGAAACAGTTTTCGCTCAGAAATTGCTAGTATATTTCACAATCAGTTAAAAGGAAATGGCAAGTAACACATTGAATTGAATGTGAAATTGTTTTTTAAAAATATAACCTATAGTAATAAACTCAAATATTTAAGTTTTTCATCTGCATCATATTTTGAATCATGTGGTTTGCTGAGGAGAGATGTGCTATTACTAATATTATTATTATTATTAGTGATTAAACCTATGGTTTCATCTGGTAGATGATAAAACAGACAAAAAAAATCCTATAGAACTGGTCTGATGTGGATCAAGGGATGATTCATGAACCATTTATTATCTGGATAAAGATAAAAAAAATCTCACATTTCATCTAATCATCAACATTTGTGAGATTTATTTTAACTGAACAGTTGTAAGATATATATATATATACTGTATGTATGTGTGTGTATATATTAGTGCTGTCAAACGATTAATCGCATCCAAAATAAAAGTTTTTTTTTTTTACATAATATATACGTGTGTACTGTGTATATTTATTATTTATATATAAATACGCACACATACAGTATATATTTTGAAAATATTTACATATATTTACATGTATATATTTATATTCATATAATTTATATGATATATAAATATATTTCATATATAAACATAACATATTTTTATATATACATAATAAATATAAACAGTACACACACATACAGTATATTATGTCAACAAAAACTTTTATTTTGGATGCGATTACTCGCAATTAATCGTTTGACAGCACTAATATATATATATATACATACCTTTGCTAAGGCCACAGTTTGCATGTTACACTTGCATGCTTTCATCTCTAGTAGCTCTGTTGGTCTCTTCTCCTTTTTACAATCAAAGTTCAGGCCAAAAGTTCTGATTTAGCAGAAGTGTAATATGCACTTAAGTGTCATTGTATGGTATAAATGTTTAGTAAGAATTTTTTTTATTTTTAATTAGAATTTTTGCTATGCTAATGTTTTTGCCCTCTTCCTGTGGCTAGTATTACATGTTTATGCATCCTCCCACCACAAAGCACATTTTTCCTGCTGTCACAGCCTGAAAAAGAGCGACTAACCTAAATTCACTTTACTCCCCTAATTTTGAAAAGTGACTTATATGCACAAAGACAACATGTATTTGATTTAAAAAAAAAAAAACTATAAAACAGTAATATTGTGAAATATTTATACATTTTAAAGTAACTGTTTTCTATTTTAATATATATATATTTTTAACATTACTTATTTCTGTGATGGAAAAGCTGAAATCTTAGCAGCTATTACTCCAGTCTTCAGTGTCACAGTGTCTTCAGAAATCTTAAATCAGAAATTCAGAAATTTTGATATCCTGATTTGGTGCTCAAGAAGCATCTTTTATCATATGAATGTTGAAAACAGTTGTGCTCCTTAATATTTCTGTGGAAACTGTTTTTGTAACATTATAAATGTCTTTACTGTCACTTAACCACTGATATAGAATACTTAATGTTCACCGAGCAGACAAATTATTTAAAATTTATAGATTTTGCTTGGTTAATGTTTAATGTGCAGGGAGAAAAGTCAAAAAAATGTTTTATGTCTTTCTTTTCAGATAACCATACCTGCTTCACTTTATGATTCTAAACAGTACGTGGAGGCCAATGAGATAGAGCCGTCTCTGGTAAGCACTTTGAAGTGCAAACACAGCTCTTGCGAGTTAGCATGCGCAAGAGGTCATCTCCTGTGGGCTGGAGAGGAAGTGGTGGCGCTGGCTATCTCTTTCTCTCACATAGGAAACTGATCAACTCAAAAGAGGAAATGCAGCTTGGCTAAAAGAGCAATGTCAGGTTTTAGTTTGTATGCCATATGTGCTTCATGTTTCTAGCTCGAACGTAATTCACAAATTCCCTTTAATGAAAATGTATTTTAGTGAACTGCTGAAGGCTTGTGTGGGTTGCCTCAATACTGTTGCAGATTTGTAGCAAGATTAAATTCATTTTGCTGTGTTGCAGCCCCATAGCACAGTGATGGCCCTCTATGACTACAGGGCCATGCGGCCGGATGAACTCACCTTTTACAAGGGCGTTTTGATCCATAATGTGACCAAGGAGGCAAACGGATGGTGAGATTATTTGCAAATTTTGTAGATAATAAGCAATAAATTCACTGTTTAGCCTTGTAAAAAAAGCTGTGGCAGTGCCATGGTACAGTGAGAGTATCAGATGATTATACTATGCTAATTTGGTAAATACCATGGTACTGGAAGATTACCATATAAATTTACCTCAGTATTTACATACAGTAGCACTCCAAGGTACACTACTGTTCAGGAGGTGGGGGTCAGGAAGTCTTTTTTCTTTTTAGAGTATTTTGTTAATTTTTTTGATCAGAAAAATACAGTAAAAACAGGAATATTGTGAGATATTATTACAATTTGAAATAACTATTTTCCATTTGAATATATTTTAAAATGTAATTTATTCCTGTGATGCAAAGCTGAATTTTCAGCAGCCATTACTCCAATCTTCAGTGTCACATGATCCCCCAGAAATCATTCTAATATGACGATTTACTGCTCAAGAAACATTTATTATCAATGTTGAGAACAGTTGTGCTGCTTAATACATTTTTCAAGTTTCTTATATATAATTTATATGAATTAAAGTTAAAAAGAACATGATTTATTTGAAATAGACTTTAAAAATGTCTTTACTGTCACTTTTGATCAGTTTAATGTGTTGTTGCTGAATAAAAGTAGTAACAAAAAATATCACTGACCCTAGATTTCTGAATGAAAGTGTATGTCAAAGAATACTATAATTTTACCATGGCTCATGTCCATAAAACATAGCTGTAATCATGGTATTATCATGGTAGGTTGTCCATGTTGACTTTTCTGTTAATGTAGCTTTGTGGAATATAGTTGTTTTAACATATGTTTATCAGAAAAGATTGTCTTACTCATGTCATTTCACTCTTTTTTTAAATACCTGACACTATCGGGTATTTAAAAAAACACAGGGTGATTTTAATTGCTTAAATTGGATGTTAACCCACATTTAATATTCCCAATCCCAACAGGTGGAAAGGAGACTATGGTGGAAAACTGCAGCACTATTTCCCTTCGAATTATGTTGAAGAAGTTGCCAATGCATCTGAGGCAGGTTGCCAGGTAAAGAATATTACAAATTTGCATATTTGACATCACAGAGAAGTAATTTAGTGCTAGTAAGTACATTATTTTGCATGCCTATTTGCGTAAATACATAGAGAATATCTATATTCAAAACATAGAATGTCTTTAAGATTAGATGTTCTCTTTCAGGGCGATGAGGAAAATCCATTGGGTGACTTATGTAAAGGAATAGTGGACATCTCGAAGTGTACTGTCGGTAAGATTATTTATCTTCTGAGTCACCTGGGCACCTGTACATTACATGTTTTTGTAATGGTTTTTTGCACTCTTTTCGTCATTTCCAGTTCGTTCAGCCAAACACAGCAGGCCTGTGGTGGTGACGCTGCAGGATAAGGAGAATAAAGACATGCCGTTTGATTTGGCCACTGAGACCACCGAGGAGCTGTACGAGTGGTATCAGGTGGCTTGGGACATCACACAGAGAGAAGAAAACCGAGAGTTTGAGGTCTGTCTCACACACTTAGACTCACACGCTCTGTTTACTGGTCCTGAATAGGGCAAACTGGGGCTAGTTGTCACACAGGGAAGTTCTCACAAGGTTTCGAGTCACTCGTCATGTAAATATAGTTGAAGTTGTTTAGTTGTCAAGTTTAAATGCTAGGCATAGCCCTAGAAGCACATTTAACCATTGACATTTTAAGTATACAGTCAAGTATTTCAAGTATAATTTTGGGCTGGTGTTTATAAATGTTTACAATAAATTTCTATTGCAGAAACAAAAGCAAAGGGAGGTTGAGAGCAGGGACGAGGTGGCCAGCGAGATGTCTGAACAGGTCGTTTACTGCCAGCCTCGCAGCAAAGACAAGGACCGCTTTGGTATGGCTCATTAAATATGAATGTATACATATTTACATATACACTACCATTCAAAAAAGAAATGAATACTTTTATTCACCAAGGATGCATTAAACTGATCAAAAGTGACTGTAAAAACATTTAAAATGTTGTTTTTCAAATAAATACTGTTCTTTTGAACTTTCTTTTCATCAAAGATTCCTGAAAAAACACAGCTTGCACAAAAAAATTAAGCAGCACAACTGTTTTCAACATTGTTGAACAACAATAATAAGAAATTAGTTTCTTGACCAAATCAGCACATCATTAATGATTTCTGAAGGATCGCGTCACACTGAAGACTGGATTAATGATACTGAAAAATTCAGCTTTGCTATCATAGGAATAAATTACATTTTTAAATATATTAAAATATTAAATTATATTTAAAATGTATAAAAAATAAAATAGAGGTTCGCTCCTTCGTAGAAAATAAGATTCCCTCCAGAAACAAGTCGACTCAATTTATGTTGTATAACCGCAAGGCGCTCAGCCGCGTCTACCCTAAGGGCCAGCGGGTGGATTCCTCCAACTATGATCCGTATCCTTTGTGGATGTGCGGCTGCCACATGGTGGCACTCAACTTCCAAACCGCTGGTGAGTATGAAGTTAAACATCTCATGGACAAAGCTATCCATTAACATTCCCACTTATCTCAGTGGTGCTTGTTTAGCTAACTTATGACTGCACTGGAAGTATATGACATGTAACAGGCCATAATAAACGTAACATTAAATTCATTTAGTCAAAATAAACAGCTACTTATGAATTTCTTTCAATGCTTTTTGGCAACATAATGGTGTGATTATACCATCTACCAGCAGGGGAAAATTGCCAACCTTTGACTCAAAATAGTAAACAAGGAAGTGAGGAGATATACTCAAAGTCAATGTTTTATAGAAATACAATTATTATACATTTATACAAGTTTGTAAAAAGGGGTAGAGTATTAGGAGGCAAGAAACATAAAAAATGTAATGTTAATGTAAAAAGAAAATAAGACATTATTTAAAGACAAATATGTAATAAAGGAAATAACATGGGTTTAAACTGTGAGTGTAAGGAAAAGAAAACATTACAGAGAAAAATGATCAATAAATAAATAGCATAGCATTTATTCCATATGTCTAATAACTAGTGCTGTGAAACGATTAATCGCGATTAATCACATCCAAAATAAAAGTTTTTGTTTACATAATATATATGTGTGTACTGTGTATATTTATTATGTATATGTAAATACACACATATACAGTATATATTTTGAAAATATTTACATATAAATATATTTAGAATATAAACAACACATTTCTCTTAAATATATATGTGCATGTGTGTATTTATATATACATGATAAATATACACAGTACACACACATATATTACATAAACAAAAACTTTTATTTTGGATGCGATTAATCGTTTTGTGTTTGCGTTTCTCCTCAGATAAGTACATGCAGCTGAACAGCGCCCTCTTCAGTCTGAATGGAGGCACAGGATATGTACTGCAGCCTGAGTTGATGCGCAGCGATTCGTATGACCCTCATCAGGAGAAGAAGAATATCAGATTTACTATCACCATTAGGGTAAAACTTTATTCATTCAACTTTGAGCTTTATTCAAACAGAACATTTATTTAGGTTGAGTTTGAGAGCTTTTTTTAATTAATTGAAAAGATTGTTGATGGTTTTTCTGATACTCAGGTGATAGGAGCAAGACATCTTCCCAAACCAGGACGAAGCATTGCCAGTCCCTTTGTGGAGATCGAACTGTGTGGCCAAACAGAGGACAACAAATTCAAGACTATCGTTTGCCGTAAGACGCAGTAATTTTTTTTAGCATAACTGAGATACTATTACGTTTTCATTTTAATTTTAGTTAACATTTTTTAAGTTTTTATCATTTATATCAGTTTTTGTTTTAAATATGTCTATGTAGTTTGTATGAAATTTTTGTTTAGTTTTAGATATTTTATTAGGTTAAACACACTGAAAATAAGAAATGCTAAAAAATTAAGTAGCTGAAATAAAGTATGTTTTATTATATTTTATTTCAGTTTACATTTACTGTATCTCAAGTAATGTTTAAAAAAAACACCCTGTTAAGAAGTGGGAAAAGTAAAGAGAAAAAAAGACATCTGGGCTATATTCATGCTCCGATGATACAATCTTAATTTATCTTCATTTCAGTCAGAATTTAACCACATAAACGTAAAAATTAGACAAGAAATAAAAAACAAAATATTTTAACATGTACACACACACATATATATATATATATATACACAGTGGTGTGAAAAAGTGTTGGAC